GTCAAATCAACCTACTGTTAGGACACGTGTGATCACAGTTGTGAAATATTCTGTTCATTTTTAGGTTATTTATTATTTATATACATATTTTGTTCCTCTACTGCAGGGGTTTTCAAAGTGTGGGAAGGTGAGCCTCCCCTCAGAGAACATAAGAACAGCTGCGCCCCCCCTCCCAATTATTATTATTATTGTTGTTGTTGTTGCTATAATGCAGGGGTATTATTATCCAGTGGAAAGTCCTTACCTACTGGCCTAGTTAAATCAAAGCGGTTACTTTTTTTGGCTGGGCAGTGTAGTTTTACACACCGTCTTATTTGACTTTCTCAGGACTTAAAACTGTTTTTTGGGGGCAGACCCCCTCAAAGAAAAATATATATTTACACACATAAGGTCATCATCTTAACAGTTTTGTATGCTCATCCGTGAGCAGAGCATCAAGTTGACATGTCTATTACAGCTGAATGCGGCGATAACCATTTTATTCAGCAAAACGCCTCACAAACTTATTAAGATCAACAGCTTTAGTGCGTTTTGACTCTTCTCTGTCATTGTAGACTGAAAAATACCTCATTCCTTCAGTACTTGGGTCAGAATGCTTCTCATTTTGCGCCGTCCCGTTCAAATGAAATCGCCGCCAATCGTATTTCCACGCTCGCGCCAGGGCCGGGGGAGGGGTTACAAGACGTGCGTCTCATAAATGTCCGATGAGCCACAACTTTTCTTTCAAAACAAAGCTGCCACCTGGGGTAGGCAAGGCCTATGTTTAGGGTGGCAGTTGCCACCCCATGCCACCCTGGTATGTGAAACTAGGCTACTAGCTACAGTACAGATGCAACTAGATGAGCTGTTAACTCTCGCTCTGACTTTTTTTTTTTTAAACACACACGCATTCCGCGAAGACCCGCCCTACTGTGCCTCTGATTCGCAGGCTGTCGGTGGGGGAAAAAAAAAGCTGACGGGATGCTGAATGTGATTGGACCAATGCGTTGACAGACACACACAGACAGTGTACATGCAAGTCGCTGTTTGCAGTGGACATAGCGGAGAATTTTGACTCGTTGCGTTGTGGCGATGTCTCGCAGATAACACAGATAATACATAGTATATAGTATAATTTGCTCAGATTCCAGAGACAGTTGTGGTTCGGTCCGGATCCGGACCGGAGTCCGGACTTTGAGGATGCCTGATTTAGATGATTTTTATGAGACTTGTGTTTTGTTTTGGAAAAAATTGTTCATATTGTCAGTTAGATGAGTTTCTTCCAGTTAATCTGGTATGACACATTAATAGCTTTTTAAATATTAAGAAGCCCTGAGACACAGTTTAGTGAAAAAAAGACCTGCAGCCCCCTCTACCGGGGGCTCTCGGGCTTAACAGGTTAGGGAAAGTTCTGGGAAGGCTGAATAGTCTTTTTTTTTAGGCTTTTGGTAAACACAGGACTTAGGAATTACTATTGTTCATTTGATATTGTGATTACTGTGCCCATATGCACAGTGAGATGGTCACAATTACATGCTAATGAATAAAGAAACTTTCCCAGACTGGGCTAACTAAAATGAGTTGAGGGTGTAGCAAAGGGTGGTGTGAAGCTGGCAGACGCTAACATCTCAACAGCAATGCTAATGAACCAGCCAACACCAGGGCTGCCTTTATGAGGCGGTTTATAACCCTCCATTTGTGGCAAAAGGCATTGTTTTATGAGAGTTTTATTGGAGCAATGAACGTGAAGGTCACAATAAGGAGACCTGGTGAGTCACTCATCTATAGTTTATTTGAGTAAAACTGCTGGAAAACAAGATATAAAGCCTCTCTGAAGCTGGATTTCTGCTCAAGGTGTCACAGCAGTCCAGCCATAGCTGCAGGGTGTCAGGAATCGGGATTATTAGGACTCAAATGCAGTTTAAAAAGGGAAGCATGTTTCAAAACAAAAGCGAGCTTTATTTAAACGAAGCTGTTGACATGAAAAAACAAGACAAAAACCATTAATCATAAACAGGTAGCACAAGGTAAGTGACAAACATGGAGAGTGAGAAAATACAACAAACCGACATGGAGCACAGAGGAAGACAAGACTAAATACACAGAAGGGTAATCACAGGACAAGACACAGCTGGGCAGGGGAGGCAGAAACACAAGGGCAACAGGTGAACACAATGAGACAATCAGACACAGGAGGGCAAACACAGGAAGGAAGACAAGACACAGGGAGAATATAACCATGGGTCAAAGTAAAAACTTAAGTGTCGGGTTGAACCTGTTCAACACTCTGTGGAAGTCATCATGCATTGTCAGCCCATGTTTTACTATTGTCAAATACATTATAAAATTAAGTCTAAACAGCAGAAAAGCAGTTTAACATACCCAAAGTTATCAACTCATGGTTTCCCATGCTTTGAGCAAGTTCACTCAAAATGAACTCAAACAATAAAGTAACAATAAATTAATCTGTGTTTTCTCACAATATAGCAGTGACTACTGTAGCAGCTAACCACAAGGTCAATTGCTGGTGGATAATATGCTAACACAGTTTATGCGAGATTAGTACCACCACCGTCTCATAATTGATTGAGAGCATGTTGCATTTATTTTGTTTATACTCTCTGCAAGGTTTTATAAAGGTTAAATAGCCAACACAACTATAACATCCATTTCCTCAAAAGAGCTTGTCTTGACAGTTTATAAATGATCAATGGGATCAGAATAGTTTAACGCTGATTGGCACAGCGAGCAAATCGGATTTCTGTATTGTTTTATTTTTCTAATATCATTGAAACACAAGGTCGCTTGTAATTTCTCAGATGTACTGTTCTTGTTGTAGTGAAACAGTATTTTTCAGAAGTTTCCATTCAGGGACCAGGGACCCAGCAGTTGAAAAGAGGAGGTCAAGAGTATACCAGCACGCTGAGGGCCTCGGTCCACAGTAGGTATCATTTCTTGCAGAAAGGGCAGGGGGGCGCTTGCTCCCCACACTTTTTGTTTTGTTGTATGACAGACTAGATTTTATCATCTATTTGTGCTATTAATATTAGTTGACATTGTGTTTTCACTATGAGCACCAACCTGAAGTTGCTTGCTCTCACACTTTGTAATGAGCTTCAGCGCTAAATCTGACAGCTGTAGGACTATCAAATCACTCCCACATGCACATCTGCCCTGTTTAAAACCAAAGGGCAGATGTGTGCAGATCTTTTAAAAGGGTTCATCCACACAAGGCTCCTGTTCTCAGGGTGTGTGCAGTTCAAATGCAGAGGTTTTCAGGGACATCAGAAGCAGTTTTGGCCCAGTGGTTAGAGCGTTAATCATCAGATCAAGGGGTGTTGGTGAACTCCAGTTCAAAACCCGCATCGGCCGCCACTGCGTCAGGCCGTTGTGTCCTTGGGCAAGACACTTCACCCGCATTTGCTCCTGTGGGTATGGTATGTCCACAGTAATGACATTTACATGTCTAATATGTGCAATTATGTAATTTTAAAGCGCTTTGAGCATCTGTAAAGGCGCTCTAATAAAAAATGTAATGCATTATTATTATTATTATTATTATTATTATCTTCACCAGGTCTGCAGTATGTTTCAAGATCTCCAGCATCGTTCCTGTCCCCAAAAAGTCTAAAATGTGTGCTTTGCGTACACAGGCACTGAGAAAGTAAGTATTAACAGCAGGTGGCCTTTTGTCCTGTACATTTGCAAGATTTCAGAGAAAATCTAGTAATGTTAACCCCACTCCAGTAATGAGGTGTTATTATTTACACTCTGGCACAGGGTGAACCTGAGCAAACCTGAAGCAACATTTTATTATTAACCCGACCAAATTTCACAGCTAGCCAGTGTCACTGGCAGTTTTTAGCCCTTCTGATACAAAGCAGGAGTGTTTAATGGCTCCACACAGAAACAGCGAGGGCAGAACCCTATAGCCTGTGAAAAGGAGACATTACAGCACTTAGAGCCTGCCATTATCCTCCTGCAAAGACAACCTTTATCTCAACCACACACTCACACACCTCTATGAACAGTATTGAGTCCTACAGCACCATTATCATTACACACACACACATGTTAATCATTTAGAAAAAAATCAATACTATACATTTGAACTGGTGTGAGTGATTTGACCATACACAATAATGTGTTTTAAATTGATAACATCGTATTGAATGCACTTTATTCAGGTTAATATTTATAGGATATTAGAGAGCTGATAAAAGCAGTCCAAACCCTTTGCCTCACTCACTCGTGTGAGATCAAGTCTATTAAAATGTAATTGCGGCAGTGAGTGTAAACACGCTGAGTGAGCAACAACAGATGCATGCATGCATATATTATCACCCTCGCCCTCACACACTGTATCTGATGACTATGATGCAGATAAACCTGATTGGACATTTTATGGTCGTGTAAATCCCTGAAAGATTGATGTGTTTGCATGTAAAGCCCACATAGTTTAACTGTGTCCTTGTGTTATGAGCATATGGATATCCTATGACATTATGTGGCATTATCTGATCAATACACTACTACCAAAGCTCTGTGATGGTTCTCAGGGAAAAGTCATTACTCGTCAGCTGAGGCATGAAGAAGTGAGGATGTTATTAAAATTAAGAACATTTACATGAGATAATTGACAATGTCAGTGATCATGTTTTGTCTCTGCTGCATATTCATCCAAATGAACATAATCTGCTGATGGCCTGAATCCAATAACACCTGTGAAAGTGCACAGTGGCTCAGTATTGTGTGCCATTTTCAGACATTGCCATTCTATTGAGCATTTACTGGATCTTTAGTCCATTCGTCTCTCAGCTCCTGCAACGACTCCCGCCATCTCAGAGTGACCTCAAGGTCCTTTCTTTAAATGCATTTGCAGTTACATTTGATTGGAAGTATTGATCTGGGCCTTATTGTTGTTGCACAATGTTATATTGATGGTGTATGAAGCATAGCCAGTGTGACTGAGTGGTAGCATTGTGACAGCCTTATCAACCTGAACAAAAGTCAAGCTGCTGGAAAATCCATAAGCGGATCTGACTCTGAACAAGCGCTCAGCATTGCACATCTGAATTGATTCATCATTAGCAATCAATATCTTTTGATGCAGCGTTGAGTTTCCTCATCATTCTCAGTCATTTGTCATCTGTTTCTGCAGGCTGTGGTTCCTCCAGCCGGATTCACCTGGTGAGAAGGAAACCGCTGATTAAGGACATTCAGGCCTGTAAAGTGGCTCAATGCAGATTAAATCTGACTCAACGTGTCCAGAGGGGCAAGAAGCCAGTCTTTATTTCTCCCTTATTGATCGAGAGATCTGATGAAGCACCAGTGGCGGTTCTAGAACATTTTACATGGGGTGGCAAAGGGGGGGCAAGAGGTCATGCCAGGGTGGCATGGGAGGGCGGACAGTACGTGGTATTTTATACTGCATATAACCTATTTATTGTTAAATCATGCCCTAACACAAGTGTTCTTAATGCACAAGAGAAACAAGGTGTTCAGACAAACAAACTGAAATAAAGTATAAAACAGCAGAACATACTCATGATGCCCTAGAACTCTGTTTACTGTAAGTACAGTAAAAGTACTTAGTTATAATTAAGTACACAAATGACATCACCCATCTCTTAAGAGAGCTAAAGGTGACCTGTGCAGGAACACATTTCAATCAATATTTGTCAATACTAAGAGCTGCTAGATTGTGCTGCTGTAATGGAATATGTATGCAAGGAGAATAAAAACATACCATGTGGTCCAGCTGGAGTCTCATCTGCCTCCTGATCCCTGCCTCTGGCCCTCTTTCTGACACTTCATCTTTATTCCCTCATACATTTCTTCTTCTTCACTAATGTCTTCATCTCCTCCTCTTCCTCCTGCTCTGACCCTCCTGGTCTCTTCATCTCCTCCTCTTCCTCTTGCTCTGACCCTCCTGGTCTCTTCATCTCTTTTTTCCTCTTTCTGTTCATCCTGATCACTTCTCAGATATGTCTTTGTGTTGTTGTTGAATCACTCCAGCTACTCTGGCCTGCAATAGTCTACTTGTGAAAAGCTCTGGTACAAATGCTTGTATAACTTTACACGTTAGGGCCATTTAGCTAGTAAGTAGCATAGCCTATAATAAATATAAAATCAGAAAGTATTTATCAAACGCACAGGCAGTTGTGTTTAGATCCAGTTTGACGGTAAAGGACTTATCCTGGTTTCATTGATCTGGCCTCATTGCTGTGATGTGTAATGTACGTGGATTTAATAGTACCGCAAAGTTTAGCAAATAAAGGGAATGATCTCCATGCTAGCGCTGTCTGCGTAGTATTTTGTAACGTAACGTCCCAAACAGCGACCGTCTGTTAAACGCTATCGATTCAAACGGCAGCGTTTTATTAATATTTTGTTTCAAGCTCTCGTCTTTAGTAAAAACAAAACTAGTGGAAGGGGAGAACGCTCCCAGGGAAGCTGATCACCTTCACGGTGGCTGGGACCAGGCGTCGCTCCTCTCGCAGCGGTGTGAGCCGCGGTCTGGAGCCCGGGCTGTGTGGAACGCCGCGCGCGGCCAGTTGACAGGAGGTCTGGACGAAATTGACAAGGACCAATACTGGCGGATGTATGATTGATACGCGCTATATACTATTACTTAATGTGAAAGCATGTTCATTCATGACAATATGCCCGCTGTATTTATAAATCGTGGTTTATTACAACTTC